CGAGTCTCACGGCGCCTCCCCCCGCCCCACACGCCCACCCGGAGACGAGCGCGGCGGGCAGCGCAGAGAGCTCCTTGCAGCCCCGCGTCCGTGCGCTCGCTCGCACAGGCAGCGCTGCACGTCGGCACGCGGCACTTGGAGGTGGCCTTCCACGCGACGGCGACCGTCCTGCACGTGTTGTTCTGCCACGCGCTCTTTTCACGGCCCCATCCCACGTGCTATTTATAGCTTCTCTGCTTCCCGGGGATTTGAGGAGGGTCACCCGAGTTTTCAGAGGGCGGGGTGCAGGGCAGCCGGGAGCTGGGGCCCTGGCGTGACGCTGACCTGGACGGATATCCCAGCTCTGCCACCTGCGTGTGGGGGCCTTGGGCCAGCCCCTCAACTCTCTGAGCCGCCATTTCCTCCTCCGTGAAAAGGGGGTCACGTTAGCAGTTACCTCACGGGGCCAGTGTGACGTCACTGTGGGACGGCAGAGAGGGTGCTCCAGCATTTCAGCTCCCCAGCTGCGACATCAGCCTGGTCCTGCTTTCCCTACGCAGGGGGAGAAGCAAGCTGAGCTTAGTATCTGTTGATGTCCTTTGAATATTGCCATGACCCATTCTTTCACTTCTGAGACCTGGTGGAACCTTCCTCTACCTATTCGGAAAATGGGAACCTGAGTTCAGGGAAAGTCGGAGCTGCTGAGCTCTGGCCATCACCTGGCCCAGCCTCCTCATTCGACGTGAGGAAACAGAACCTGCAGGGAAGAGAGTAACTGGCCCACAGACTGCTCTGTACATAGTACAATCAGTGTTCGCTAGACTAGGGCCAGATGCTTTATCTAATTCTCATCCATCGCAGTGAGGCAGGTGTTGTGCTTTCCCACCTTATAGGCCAGAAAGCTTAGGTCACTTTCTCAAGAAGACGCCACTAATAGGGGCCAGAGTTAAAGCCCGGGGTGTGAGTCTCTCTGCCCATCTGGTTGAATGTCCCCTCTGCCTCCTGCCAGCACCTCCCCTCCCTCCCTCACCCCGCTGGAGCTCCCCGAGGAGGGCTCTCCCGGCCCCGGGGGCAGCTCTGCCCACCCTCCTGTGCCCCGCTGCTCCGTCCCGACACTCGGGACCCCTGAGCTCGCTGACTTGGTGTTGAACCTGTCCTCTCCCCCGAGACTGTGAGCCCTCGAGGAGAAAGTCTGGTTCTGATTCACCTCTGCATCCCCATGCCCAGCACAGGGCCTAGCACCCAGTAGGCAAATGCAAATCTTTGTGGAAGGGAAGGGGGAGGGAGGAATGCCAAAGCCCGTGGTCTCTCCTCTGTCTCACAGCTTCTTTTGCCAGAGTCAAGGTCAGAAGACAAGGCACCAGGCTTTACACCAAATTTGATCTCCCCCCAACTCTCATCACTGCTGCCCCTCACCCCAGTGCCCAGTCCCCCTCCCTCGTATGCCAGGGCTCCCCACTGCCAAGGGCAGCAGCCCCTCCCTGCCTCCCCTGCCACACTGCCCACAGCTCTCAGGATCCGCCCTGCCAACCTCACATCCATGAGGCCCCAGGCCTCAGTAAGGAGCCCCCCTACCAGGCCACATGCCTTGAAAAGGTGACAAGGCCTTGAGCACAAGGCCAGCAGGGCCTTGCCTCGTCTTTCAAAGCAACTGAGAAAGTGGTACCTCCTCCATCAATGCCACCCTCCTGCTCAGTGGGAGCCCCCGTGGGGCACGCTCTCCCTCCAAGGTGGGTAGGGGGCTGGGGAGACTCCCGGTGTTTGTCAGCCGGAGCACTGTAGTTAGGAGGACTGCGTTTCCATGGATACAAGCCATGGGAGCTGCTGGGAGATGGGGCCATGGTGTACACAGACACGGATCCACACGGACCTGCGAGAAAAATAGCAACAGATTTGCTGAGTCATTGGCCCCACATATTTATAGTCTCTGGCAAAGGCAGACCTGCCTATCAGAGGCTAATAATACTGCAGTAGCGTGTTAATTGCAAAGACGGAGCCTTCAAGCATCCATTCAGACACCCAAGACCGTTCCCTGAATAAAGAGTGGGGCCCTCCCAATGGGAGCCCGCGTGGGGGTGAGTGTGCGTGTTTGGGAGTGCGTGTGCGTGCAGGGATGTGTCACCTGGCTCTAGCAGATTAACA